TAATGTAGAGTCAGCCTTCGGCTGAAATTAATGTAGAGTCAGCCTTCGGCTGAAAAAACTTATGAATTAATGTAGAGTCAGCCTTCGGCTGAAATAATGTAGAGTCAGCCTTCGGCTGAAAAAATAACGTTATAGAATTTTACAAGATCAATCAAATCAGATACCATCCACAACCCCTCTTTCGGCAAGCAAAATAAAAAAAGCTTCACCAAAACTCACCAACTGCACTTACACAAATATTGGCCAAAATAAATAGCTACTTGGAGGACAATGCCTTTGCTGATTATAGAAATGATTCGAGTTAACGATTGTTGCCTCTAAGACTGTGCGGGGCACGCGATGTATGCATACCGTGCTATGGAAATCGTGTTAATTCAATCATCAATTCCCTCACCGCTCTTTTCTCTGTTTTTTGGCATTTTTCTGCGACAACGACAAAAAAATGCCTAGATCGACACTTCGATGGAAATATACAGAGGAAGACATGGCAGAGGCTATATTGGATGTTACTGACGATGGCTTTTCGCCCCCCCTCAAGCCGCTCATAGACGGGGAGTGCCTCGGAGCACTCTCATCGACAGGCTTAACGGCCGCGGGGCCGTGAAAGAGCAGATCCACCCTCTAAGTTACTAGATGACTCGTTTTAATGGAGTCTGGCTACCCTATGACACTACTGTTATCATCTTATCTTATCGGCTTTCTTATCTTATCATATCGCACTGGTGGAGCTTGACAGCAGCGAACATAAGGATCTTGGTAAACATCAAGGAGCAATTAATTCACCACGGATAAAATTAAGGAAACTCAAAGAGAATTATTTCCGAGCATTTTTCTTTTGATTGAGTGATTAAGAGTGAGAGGATAAACTTGTAAAGTCTCAGTCAGATTTTTGGATGCTGTATCACGTGCATCGTCGCCCGGTCAGCCTGAGCTAAGCCAAAAATGGCATGATTGTTTTCTCACTCACTAGCTCATTCAACACCATCACCATCACTATCACCATCACCATCACCGTCCGTCATCATCAACTGACGCGACTGCATCAAATGGACTTCAACACATCAATCCATAAAGTCTCAAATTGGCTTGATTCTCTCCCTTTTGACCAACCAACGCCACATTCACCACCATCGCCATCTACTACTCTCAAACGACAACATCTCAACGAGTCGCGCAAACGTCAATATCCAGCATCACCACCTGAATCTCACTCCTCGCGCAGAGTCAGAATCCAAGCCATGCCCGCTACTCCAGCTAAGCGTGCTCGCCCAGACATCGACAATGATCAAACTCCACGCGCCGGCGCAAATCCTCTCATCAATCCGCCCAGTCTACCTTCAAACAGTGAATCGAGCCTTGCTTCCCAGAGCGATGCATCCATGTCACGCGATAGTAAGCGCTCGAAGCGCTCTTCATCGCCAACCAAGTTGTTTCCGATGTTTGGGCCAGAAGGGCACCGGTTGGTGAGAGATTCACTTAGCATGACGGCTCCACGGCGAAAGCTTCCTGAGTCGCTTGCTGAACTCTATCGAGACTTTTATGATGTCGCGGGGCGATATGGCATTATTCCGCGGGGTGTCAAGGGGGCTTTGGATCAGCATCTCAAATCGACAATGTCGCTTGATCGCGTGCATGATCATATGTTCTTTGACGATGAGACGAGCAAGGACTTGGATGAATCTGAGTCTAAGTCTCCTGTAATGGCCTCAGACAGGGAAATCCTTCGTCGTGTTTCGCGCATTGCTGATCGGTCAGATCAATGCTCTCAGATGCTCAGCGATGAGGCGGCCTGGAACTGTCTTGTACATTGCCCTCTGCTCGACCTATTCACTTTCGACATGGCAAATCAAACCATACTCGATTTTATGCCTTGGTAAGTTGAACCCCCGCCAGAGACCATCATATCAAACTCTAACCCTCCAAGTACAACAACAAACATCGATTCCACATACCATCGCTTTCCTGACCCTGCAAGCCGCGTCGACTTTGCCTTTTACTTTACACCTGATATCAATCCTCCTCCAAATCAACCGCCCGCCATTCCGTGCTTCAACTGGACTTCGGAAAGGATGCTTCAACAATACCCTCTCGCCTTCAGCATCGAAACTAAGCGCTACGGTGGCAACGCGGCAAAAGGGGAGCAGCAAATGGGAATCTGGCACGCAGCGCAGTGGGAATTCCTCATCACTCGCGCGGGTGCCGAAGCGGTAGCCAAGCTAGATTTCCTACCTGGCATTGTGATCCAGGGTCATATCTGGTCACTTGTTATCACGACGAGGAACCAAGGCACAACGGTACGTTTGATGAGAGCTTTAAGAGAGCTTTTGCTGAATTTGTCTAGACTGTGCTTTGCAGTGTTGAGTTTGGAAATACAGGTTCTGTTGTTGGTGTGTTTCAGGTTATGGCTGGTCTGAGGCGGTTGCGGAAATGGTCTCTTGAGGTGCTGTGGCCATGGTATAAGATGTATTTACCGGGATTGTGCGCAGATGCGAGAGCTGATGAAGTACGCCAACTGTAATAGAATTATGGCTGGCGGCTGTTATTGTTGAGCATTAGTAGAGTAGAAAGCTTCTGAGGATCTAATATGTCATACGCGCTCTACATGTTATTGTCGGTCGGGATTATTCACGTGGCGTAAGGCGACTGGAAAGATATCGGTATCTAAAGCAATTTATAGAATGCTACGAGGCGAAATTGATACCGCGGTCAGACTCGTCGGGAAACTGGCTCTTGGAGCAAAGGAAGAGCCAAATTGTCGAAGTATATTAGTCAATTGCCTCTATGAAATAAATAGATACTTACAGACGAAAAAGAATGAATGTAGAAAGATGAAGGATCTGTGCGGTGAGAGCCCTGAATATTCTAGTACTGGCAGCGTGTACTGGCGTGTTGAAATCTCAGAAAAATAAGGCGACCTTTCTAGTTGAACCAGCACAGAGGAAAGCTATCAGCTTAGCGGTGAGAATGGGTTTTCCTAATGATGTTAGTCTTTAGCAAATATACAACAAGCAAATATATATATATATATATTTCCAAGAGTAAGTTAAAGCTTCTTAAACTACTACCGGTAGCTTTTACATGAGTATTTACTTATATCGAACAGATTGATTATGATCCAGTTACGCACCGCATCCGCTGCCTTGATCATATTCTTAACCTTGCCCTTCAAGCCTTTCTCCATGCCACCTCAAAAGAAGCACTCAAAGCTGCTCTGGCGGCTATTGAAGAGACGGAAGACACCGACCCTTACGAGCTATTCTCCGCCTATCTTGATGTACCGGTCGTTGAGGATAATCCGGCCTCAATAAGAGCTCATGAACAAGCCCAGAGAAGAGGGGGTAAAGTTAAAGCGAAGCATAAAGGTTTCGAAGGCTGGGGTGCTACTACTGCGCTCCAGAAGCTTCATAACCTAGCTGTATGGCTTCGAAACAGCTCTATCCATCATGACCGATGGATAGAGGCTGTCGGCATTACATTAGGGATTGATAACGACACTCGATGGCCCTCATGGTATCATCTCATCAAGCGTACGACACGCAAGGAGCGAGAGACTAAGGACTTCATTGATAAACACCCTGAATGCGATAACTTTCGACTCAATGGTGTTGAGTGGGATACACTTAAGCGTACAGAGAGGTTTCTCTCTGTATTTGCTAGTGGTACGCTATGGGTTGAAGGCAGTGAGGCTTCATTATCCCAGAGCCTTACACTGATGGATGCTATCCTCACCTTCTTTGAGGATCAGAAGATTTATCCTATTTCATCAAGACAATGCTTAACGCTGATATTTTATAGGTGCTATATAAATCAGGCCCAGAGAAGGACCTCCGTATGGTTCATTCTATTGAGATGGGCTGGTTTATCCTTGATAAATACTACGCCCTCGTTGAGTCAACGCCAGTATACGCCGCCGCGATGCTTCTCGATCCCTCGAAGCGGAAGCACTATCTTCTTCAGAACTGGCCTGGAGAGTGGCATCAGAAGACTATTGATGCTGCTTATTCGATCTGGCAGAAGCAATACGCGCATCTCGCTCATGAATCACTCCCTGCTGCTGCTGCTGATATCGATACGTCTCATCCATCCTTGAAGAAGAGGATAGAGAATGAATTAGACCGGCTGAAACGTCGTCTAAGAGTTCAACCTACTTCGCAAGAGGATGAAGATACGTTTACGGCATTTATTGAAGATAAAACTATCGATCTTGATGCTCCAAAGATAACTCCTCTTCAGTGGTGGTTAGTTCCAGAGCAACGCCGGCGCTATCCTCGTCTCCACCGTATGGCCATCAATATTCTCTCAATCGCACCCTCCTCCGCTGGACCAGAACAACAATTCTCGGTCGCACGCCGTACGCGGAGCTGGGATAGGCTTAGGTTATCGCCAGAGAACCTCCAGAGGTTAGAGTGCATGGGCAACTGGTTCGCGAGGAAGCTCATCTCTTCGGAAGAGCAGCTAGCGATGATGGTAGAGGCTGTGGAGATGGATGATGAAATGAATATTGATTTCGATGAAGAGGGCTGGGATGTATAATACAAGGTGGCTTATTACGAAGAATTGAGCATATATACAGCATCTGCCTTCCCTACCTACCTTATAGTCTATCCACCAATCTAACCACTCTACCCGGGTAGGGTAGAGAAGTGGGTAGAGCTCCCTCTACTCTACAATGCCCAAGTATGGATGGTGGTCCTGTCATCCTCCAATTCCAAAATTGCCCCTTGTCGAGTGGATGGAACCATCCTTCGGCTTCTGTCGCTCACCATCTACTAGGTTAAATGACTCAAGACACCGCCGGCGGGGCTCCTCGTCCCAGCCATGGACAGCCTTTAAACAAGGTCTAGGGCTGGGGCCACTAGCCCACACGTTGTCGCTTGGTTCCTCGGCCAGGGGTACTATCTAGCCCCGGGTCATTGCGAGAAATTTCTTCTGTGCTCGCAGGATTTAGAGTACTGGTAGTACCTCCGTGGGGTATCGTTTGTTCCGGGTGTAGCAACGAATTGTTGTTGTGACTATTCGAGTCCGTGTCAGGAGCGAAGTTGAAATCGTTGCCATCAGCGCCAAAATGACCATCGCCCAAGAAAGCATTGCTGTCGAAATACTGATCAAGATCTACCGGCTGAGGGTCGAAGTACGCCTCGCCATCACCCAGACCAGGGATTTGTCCAGCGGGGCTTAGCGGGCGAAGTAAATCACCTAGCTTACTGATCTTGGCGTCCTGTTCGTTCTGTAGACGTTGGAGTTGATCTAGGTCGACCTGCTTCACTTTGATCTCATTCAAAGAACGCGGCGCCATGGATGGTTGCATTATGGGGGAGAATGAGGATGTCTGGTTCGCTTCGACCGGCGGAGGTGAGACAGAGGCTGAGGTGGGCATGGCTGGCGTAGCCATGTGAGGGATTGACTTGGGGATCTGGGGAGGAGCAGATGTTACCGCGACAGGGATTGGGGCGGGAGTTGATCTGATAGAGGGTGCAGACGAGGACTGACCAGCCATGAAATTGACCTGCTTGCTCCCCTGGTCGATAATTAGAGTGTTAGGCGCGTTAGCGACAAGGTCGGCCGTCTCTGGCAGATCCAGTCCGTGAGTGTCGGTTGCGTTGTGGTCGTTAAAAACCTTCATTCGTTCATGAGGGCTTTTTTCTAGCTCTTGGCGAAGACTGGGAAAATTCAAGTCGATTGGAGAATCATTAACAAATTCCGTGACATTACCCATCTCGGGATTGCGATGGCCCACGGGCTGGTACGCCGAGCTGCTAGGCATAGTTGATGACCTAGCTGACTGGACGCGGTTGTTCTGGTTTGGGATGGGTGGCAGCAGCCCACGAGCCTTCATGCGAGGTGTGCCGTAGGTCGTGGGACCCATCTCTTGAATGAAGTCTCCAAGATCAACGACACTTGCATGCTGCGTAGACTGCTGATTCTGGTTCGTGATCATGCTGGAGATGATATCGCTCACGTCCTGCGAGTTGCCCTGATCTTCTAGCGTTTTCCGGAACAAGTTGGCGAGAAAGTTGAGAATAGCGTTGATCGACCTCTGGTGACGGTCGTGTTGGTTCTGGAGCATGACGAGCTGGTTGTACAGGTTGTTGTTGTTTCTCTGCAGTCGATTGATAGCGCCGAGAATCAGCTTTTGTTGATCACGAACTTTGCTCAACTCCTCTCGTATGAATGTAACCTTCCTCTTAGGCACGGGTTGGGACTCTCCATCAGGTAAGGATTGAGTGGGCTGGGTAGTTGAGGCTGCCAGTCCTGGGCCAAGTACTTCCTCGTTCCAGGCCTCTTCCTCGCTGTCATTGTCGCCCTTGGCACCTTTAGCGTCTTTCTTTGTCTTGCTGCCACTCTTGGGCTTGTTTATAAGCCACAAAAGGTTAGGATGGCCGCGTCGGAAGTAGGGGTTAGAGTACTCGCTCGGGCCCTTGTTCTTGGACTCACTTGCCCGCATGGAATTATCGGACAGACCCACACATTTGTGGAAGCCATACATATTGAGCTGTCGAACAAAAGACGCGTAGTTGTTATGCTTAAATAATTCTGGAATCAAGGTTTTGGCAAATTCGTCTTCGTCTAGTACTATGAACGAATCTCCTTTTTCCGACCATCGAATTAAGTCTTCATTTTTGCGCTCTTCCAGAAAGCTTCTGGTGGTTAGTTTGCTTCTTCAATCATTATACGATGAGGGTAACTTGCCGGCTTAGTTTTTGCACAAACGGTGGGATTCGCTTTCGTTTTGCTTGTGCTTCCCTTTTAGCCTTCTGCGCCATCTCCTCCAACCACTCAACGTTGTCCTGCTCGTTCAGGTTCTCGGAAGGGTTCTGCCGAAGCAGGACATTTTCATCGCCAACAAAATTTCCCCATTCATTAACAGATCCGTCAAAGTTTGTCCGCGGATTAGTCGGAACAAGCGCACGATTCATCTGTCGCCGAGCAAGCGAGTTTGATGGAATCGGCACAGGCTGGGGATACTGCGGCTGTGCCAGCACCAGCCCGAACGAGTTGCCAGCATGCGCATTTCCATCCATGAGTCCATCTAACCTGTTCACGAAGCCCGAAGCATCGCCCATGCCATTCCAACGCAACATCTGGTCCCCCGCCGCATTTTCCGAGTTGTATGGCTGCTGCATCTGCTGCCTGAAAATGGGCCTCAAGGAGTTCACGCTTCCTGAAAGCGGTCAAAGACTGATTTGAGTGGATTGACGTTTTATCGATACCTAATGTTGTTGGATAAAATTTCTAGGCTGCCTTCTGGACAGTCCGCTTCGTCCTCTAATTTGTGATCGATGGTTCAATAATGTGTGCTTCAGCGGGCTAGGAACTCGAGAGTAAATGTAGATTTTACCAACACTTCTCCAATCGGGGCGCGCAAGGTGATTCGTAGTAAGCGGTCAACAATTTGATTTCTTGATCGGTCGTGCCGGACTTAGAAAGAGGGAGTGCTAGGCGGGTGTAAGGGCAGGACGATAATAATCGCGTGAGCGCATAGAAGATCGAAGAGAATAGTGCTGCTGTACGCCTCAAAGGAGCCTTGTCTGTCGAAGCACGATTGCTGGTAAAGAAAGGCGCAGCCCTGTATATTCGATGGAGGTGGGGGAACAATGGCGGGAACAACAAAATAGGGGCAGCCACGCGTTGGCTTTACCTTCGTGTACGAAGCTTGCGTGGTAATACCTCAAAGAAAGGTGAACACTGATGCGCGTCTGGCTGAATTATGTAGAAGAAGGCTGGACAGGGTAGCCCAGATAGGTCAACGTGTGGTTGGTGGACCTTGCTCTATCTGGTCGGATCAAGGTGGTAGGTATCGGTGAGTGTCATGCCAATTCTGGAATCCAGGACCAAGAGCGATGCACATGCACAGGGCCCAAAAGCTCAAAGCAACAAACGGAGATGTTGCATTTAAGTTCGTGTTGGTGATGTTGCAGTTGACGGTTGCGATTATGGATCCCCTTTGGAGCATCTGGAACGAATATAAAGGGCGTGGCTACGCTAAGCCATATACGATTCCTCCGTATTAATCCGGTCGACCCGGAGAAAAGTACCACTTTTCCTCGTTTTAGCCTCGCTTGACCCTGGTTGACATGCATGCCTGTTGTCGCACTGAGCGTGCTTAAAGGGTTAGAGTGAATATGATGAGCAGCAGCAAATGTGTTGATTGAATGTTTCTTTTATTGTCCCTCGTGCGAGCTATTCCATCCCGCAGAGTTACTTAAAGCATACAACTAGATTACTAATGCAGTTGTTTCCTGAGGCCGTGAAGATCATGCCTACTCTGCGACACCTGTTGTTGTTTATATTGCGCAGTAGCGTAACTCTCTTGTAAAGAGTTTTCCTTGGCACCCGCTGTTAGCGCTCTGCTAGGACAAAGAAATTTTACAGGCCAAAATGGCAGCAAGTGCAGCTGTGGGGCTAACGGGGCCCTAACAGCTGCCGGAAGAAAGGGATTCAGAGAGTTGACCTTTCTTCGCGACACGTCCCTAACAACACTGAGCTTTGCGAGCTCTTGACATCGCCTCCGGGCGCTATTTCCTACGTGGTATTTGCGGCTTCTTCTTACCTCGACATTCCGGGCTCTGCGCCCTCGATTTCCCGTACGACCGACTTCTGCAACCCTGGCTGCCCAGACGACACTCGCGGTATCTTGCCGCTCGACATTGGTGGTCATCGCACCCTCACCTGCAGCTTTATGTTGCCTTGACCGACCTCTGCAGCTTTTGCTGCCCGAACAATACCAGCAGCCGTCAGCTGCTCGACTTCTTGGGTCCTCCGGTGCCCCGGCGGTCAATAGGCGGGCGGGTACCCGTCCTTCTAAAATGGGACGGGTCCGTCCCAATTGCCATATTCAGTCTAGCCCTCTCCGTTATCGGATTGCCTCCCTCTGTGCAATTCCACTATCTCGAGTGGTTTTACTTGAAGTCCCATTAACCTGCTATGTTTTTTTCAAAGCAAGTCGATGACTTTGATTTGAACAGCCTTGATGTATTCAAGTGATACATCCACTCTAAACTCTACTAGAACTAGGGCTGAACTACAATACAACTTTCTTCCTGTTCCGCGGCAGAATACAAAGCTTGTTGTTCATCGATATCCCGCTGAGCCATCTCCCAAAGCTCGCCCATGCCTCTTCTGCTTGTAAACAGTCGTCCGTTCTCGGTCTCCTCAGCTACTCGTGCTTCGATGCGATCAGTCTCTGCTTTGTCCCAGTCTAAGTAAGCCATCATCTCTTCTTTAGTCCACTCTCTCAGACCCGTCGAGGTTTTGCAGCACCTCCCCATCTGCTTATAATCAAGGCACCAGCTGTAGCTTGCTTTTGGGTATCCTAAAGGCAAGCCCATTGCTTTTCGATACTGGCGATTACCAAGCCAGGTTCCCGGGGGTTGAGCCTTATACCAGTCCTCTCTTGACTTGACGTATCTCTGGTGGATGGCTCGTGGATCGTCATACCTTAGATGTGTAGTTGGGTCTGAAGCTGGGTCGTCCGAGGTTAACTGTGAAGACACCGGCGGTGTATACATAGATGGTGCAGGTGATAGATGCCGAGGTTCTGGAGTCGTTATGTGTCGGTCCACCTGCTCTGTTTCGATGGTTAACTGGCATGGCAGATCTTGACAAGTTAATTCAGGCTCAAACTCGAAATTTTCCAAAGTCGTGATCGGTTGCCACTGTATTTCGTCGAGCGTTTCCATCGCTGGTGGCCTTGGCTCCTCCGGGACCGCAAAGGGTATCCATTGAAAATCTTCCGAACACGTCTGCGGCTGGTCTGAAGATACGACTGGCAATGCTCTTAGTTCTGAGTATCGTAGTGGACATTCCTTAGAGTTCCTTGCGTGACCTAGTATATGACATTTGCTGCACAAAGGAGGGTTTCGTATCGGCCTCGCGTTTTCGATGACTTCGAAGCCACTAAGTTCTCCTCTCACACTAGACAACGGCAAAGACGAATTCGTAGTCACTGGATCGACTCGCTGGCGAGGTTCTAAGAGGGGTCGCTGATTATCTTTCCGAGTCAAGTACCAGTGCGGATGGAAATCTTCGAGTTGTAGTGCCTGGTCTCGAACTAATAAACCCTTCAGCTTGTGAGCGCAGGGTAACCCTTGTGATCATGAGAAAGAACCAGTATAGGCTGACATGGGAGCAGAGTCTTCATGCAATAAAAGCTTTCGTTGCTGCTCAACTTTTCGCAAAGCTTCATGAGACACCCAACCACGTTATGCACCATAGAGGGTACTGGAGAGTTCAATAGGGGTCCTGATCTTCTGCTTGGCTTGGTTCGACTTCAGCTCCGCCAGCTGATTCAGTAGTGCATGCTTGATCGATTGCCAAGCTTCGAACAAGTCCAATGTAGCTACTTTGAGGTGGCTCTTAAGCAGCCAGTGTATGCCTTCAACCCTTGAAGTAACGACGTTGTCAAAGTGGGGGTGTTGATTGACCCACGCCTTCACCAGCTTCTCTTTGTATTGGTCAAGCCAGTTTGTCTTGATATATCTGACTTCTTCGATATAGTCCGGGAGATATTTCTTCTCAAACTCGGACACTCGTTCGTGGAAAGTTTGTTCATTCGGTGACTTGATGATCGAATGCCAATGGCCGTAAAACTCATCCCAAGCCTCTATTCCCGGGTTGTCCCCTTGAGTCTGGCGCGTAAATCCCGGCTGACAGTAGTGGAGAACTGCCTTGTTAACATGCCAGAGACATAGCAGCGGCCTTGACGATGGGAAGCAAGTATCGACAGCATTCATACATGCTAGGCAGCGATCAGTCAAGATGACTGAGGGATGCCTAATCCTGTGGTTTTCGCACAACGATCGGAATCGATCTAACGCCCAAAAATAGTCTTCTTCACATTCCCCACTCAGGAAAGCGAACGCGACACAGAACGAACGTTGACAAGAGTCGACACCGATCAAGTCCAAAAGTGGCATGCCGTATTTGTTGGTTTTATAGGTACAGTCTAAGATTAAGACATCCGGATATGCCTGTAGGTATGCCACTGACTCGGGATGCGCAAATAGAACAGCTTTGACTCGACCGTCTGGACCGGTTTGAAATTGACTCCAAAATCCTTCTCTAAACAGCTGATCAGCAAGTGCGTTAATGCTGCTTTGTCCTTGACAGACTTCTCGTCTAGCATCTGCAATACGATTGTATATGTCCTGCTGTGTCGCTATCGTGTCAGTGTTCTGCCGCATGAACGTTCTAATTTCTTTAGGGGCTATCCCAGCGTTGGCAAGGCCAGTCAGCTGAGATAGGTGCTCCTTGGACATTGTTCGAAGTACTGGGTGGGCAGTGGTATCTTGGCTTGGTTCATGGTTATGTAGTGAGAATCGGCTTTCAGAACGGTGCCGCAGAGTCCAGGTACTTCTATCTTTATTCTCTTTCGCCAGTACAGAGAACTCGCAGCCTGTTGTTCGAGTTGTCGTCTTGCGTTGACGTTCTCTCGAAACGATCGGATGGTTACGGCGACGATCACACATGTATGTGATCGTCCTCCTGCCGGTTTTCTCCTTGGTTGACCTTCCAGTTATGAACGCATAGCCCCTGGTCGCTGCCCAGGCGTTGATTGCCTGTTGGAAAATCCGGGAATCCCCCTTATCTTCAGGATTCAGACTGTTAGTCTGAAAGTCCTAGATTTAAAGTTCAAAGTCCTAGATGAAACTATCTAGAGATATAAACCCGAGAAGAGCTCTCATCTCAATAATGAACAACTAAGTTTCATAAAAAATAAAATACTACGCCACCCCATGCACATTGGAGCGGCGATGGGGCGCATGGGGTATCCTCAGCCGAAGGCCGTGTGTCCGCGGGCCGGGAAGCTATTACTATTACTGCATTATCTACGTACTGATCCAGTGCCATGGCCATTCTTGGTATTATATATCATGTAAGGACTCCGTGTAAGAACCTGTCGTTTCCTAAGCTCCTGATCCCTCATCTTC